ATGAAATCAAATGAAATTACTTTTAGGAGAAAGGAATTGAAGTGTGGGTTAAACCGGTCACACCAATCATTAATACCGTCCATACCTATGCTATTGTTTATTTAAATCGCAATGATTTGGGAACACCGCATATTGTAAGTTTGAAACTTTCTTATATTCATTTAAGATATGGGATGACTTTTCATTTTTATTTTACTGATCGTTACTTTCAATTTGATATTACTGTATAATATATAGTGTACTGTATATCATATTATATAATAAGCTCTAACATTTCTAATAATAATACGATTTAAAATATTTATTAAAGGCAATATAGAAATAGTGAATAAATTCATTTAATAAATTATATTTATGTGGGGTACAGGTATAATCAATTTTTCTTACAATACGGTAGTTTCTGTGATGTAAAATTAAATAGTTGAGTTTGCACTGTAAAGATTCGTATATTTTTTCATTTATGATACGATATAAGTATATATTCATTAGCTTTTTCCAAATATGTCATACAATAAGATTTGTAATTTAATTCTATTCATGATAAATATTAATTAAATATTGTCAAAAACATACTGTATACGTATAGTACTCTTAACGTTAAGTACCGGTAAATTCTTGAATATACAGTAATTCAAATGAATATTTATAATTTATCTTATAGGTATCGTTGAAACTGTCATCACTGATACCAAACCTATCACCGGATCCACTGTATTATGTGACCGATTTGTACGATAATTCAAAACTGATCGCCAAATTGTCTAATAATGACAACTTGACTCTCAAAGTCAATACTTCCGGAAGTGTCCGAATGGTTAAATTGAGTCCAGTCTTCAACTCAACACTTGATAATCAAAACATTGTTTAAATCTTTTCAAAATTCAAATTAATTGTATAACCTAAATATGATAATGTGAAATTTAAACATATTTTTACTATTATACAAATATAATTCTATAATTAAAATGTGTTATGTAATTGCCTTTATATTGTAATTGAGTACTAAGAAATCACAATTTA